TCAGACCAGAATAGTTCCCTTTGACGGAGCCCTAGATGCTTGGCGTAGTTTGGCGTAGACGGCGCCTCAAAATTCAACGCCACTGGGATGATGATGATGATAAATCTCGCATCATTTTTTGCAGCGTGGTAAACTCAACATTTTGAAAGCTGGAAACCATCATTTTGCCTTTGTTTCTTAGACTTTTTCATCTTTTTCTGGTAAAAACATGTAAAAGCCATTGAAATCCATTGAAGGAATGCGGTGAAGATGTTTGGGTTTTTACGGAGTGTTTCCCGCAGTGAATTACACAACATGATATGACCCATTGGCTGAACCACAGAACCAGTAGGTGCTTTCCTGACAGTATGGTGATAATACTTGATATTGCACGAGGGTATCCGAGAACCGAAAGCCACATCGTGGCTGACAATCAGAGAGCTGTGCTCATAAATTGTTGAGCGTTGCTCTCCATGTTCTTTGGTGAAATCTTCAATCACTGTGGCAAAAACCATCATGCGTGTTGGTCAAAATCCTCATGTTTGTGGCAAAAAATGCTAAAACACTCATGCCTAATTAATTTTGTGTGTAACGCTGAGTTTTTGCTGGTCAGATCCCAAGTAGTTCTTGCAACATCTTGCAACTAGATCCCCAAATATCTCTGCGCAAAGCTTTGATCACATGATTTGAGAAGGGAACCTCGGCTGCGTCTTGACCAGGATGTCTTGGACGTGTTGGGCTTCGAGAAGAAGGAGGAGCAAACATCCTGGTCCGGCTCGTGGTCCCCCCGGTTTCAACATGACCATTTCAACCTGGCCATAAAAATCGGGGGGCTTAATGAATCATGACCATATATGACCATATATGACCATATATGACCATATATGACCATATATGAGCATTTGGCTTTGGAATGGATCAATATCATATCATTACATATCATTACTATGTTTTGTTGGGAGATTGAATATCCATAAATCCCAGCTATTTTGAGCAGCGAATTCTATGGCTTTCGACCCATTCCACATGGCCCGTGTCTGCCGACACGGGCCGTGGCAGCGGAGGATTGTTTGGAGCAAAGAAAATCCACTCCCGATGGCTTCCTATGTGGTTGGGATCCCTGATGGATCTCATCCGGTGACCTTTTTTTCAATACTTTGGGGATTTCATATCTGGTTGGTGGTTTTTGAACACGACTTTTATGACTTTCCATATTGGGAATAGTAACCCCAACTGACTTTCATATTTTTCAGAGGGGTTCAAACCACCAACCAGTGATTATATGGGATATGGTTTCACATCAAAAAACATCCCACAAGCCTAAACTAATATTGTTTCCAAATATTGTTGATCAGGCGTTCTAAAAAGGATTAGCCATGAATTTCTGAGGATATATAATGGAGGCCTATTTTTTTTTGGATTTTTTTTCTTTTACGTTTTTGGATTTTTTTTTGGGTTTCTTGTTTTATCTTGCTTTCTCCTTTTTTTTTTTGCGTTTTTGCTTTTGTGCTTTTTTGTTTGTTTTTTTTTGTTTTTTTTTGCTTGTTTGCTTTTTTTGCTTTTTTGCATGTTTGCTTTTTTGCTTGTTTGCTTTTGTGCTTTTTTGCTTTTTGCTTTTTTTGATTTTTTGCGTTTTTGCTTTTTTGCTTTTTTGCTTGTTTGCTTTTTGTTTTTTTGCTTTTTGTTATTTTTGCCTTTTTTGCTTTTTTGCTTTTTGCTTGTTTACTTTTGGCTTTTTGGCTTGCTTTCCATGGCTTTTGGTGGTATTTTTAGTATGTCAAACTTGCACATTTTTCAATACACTAGTTTGAATCGACTATATTCATATATATATATTTATGTTTAAATTAAAATCATAATATATATATATATTTACATATATATATATGTATATATATATATGTATATATATATGCATTTATATACACACTTGTATATTTATATCTAGATATATTTATATTATTTATATTTTCTACTTATATTTTTTTTAAATATATACATATTATTACTATTTATGTTCAAATTCAAATATATATATATTTACACATATATATATTTACATATATTATATATATATATATATTTACATATATATATATATTTACATATTCATATTGATATTTTTTATATTTATATTTATATATTTATTTTTATATATTTATATTTACATATAAATATATATTTATGTACCTATATATATATATATATACATTCATATGTATATACATATAAATCATATAAATGTATATATATATATAAAGAAGTATGTATCTATAAGTATATGTACTGTATTCCACATGTTTCCAGGGTGCATGTCGTGTAGTCTATACACCTTGAGTATCACATTCAACCCAGCACCTTGCATGTAAAATAGGTGTTTCCAATCTGCTTTGGCGGGGAGGCGCTGCGCCCTCCCCCCAATCCCCCCCCTCCCGCTTTTTTTAATTATTTAAATTCAAACTTGCACACTTTTCAATACACTTGTTTGATTCGACTATATTAATATTTTGTTAAAAATTATATATATCTAGACATATATATATATAGACACGTATACATATATATATATATATGTATATGTATATGTATATATTTGCATTTATATATACACTTATATTTATATATATATTAATGTACTTATATAAATGTATATATATATATACATACATATTAATATGTATATACATATCAATGTATATATATTTATATAATTATATAACTATAAGTATATATATATATATTATAAATACACATACATATTTACTTATAGATATACAGACGTATACATATATATATATATGACATATTTGTGGTTGTTTTTATACACAACTTTGATCCCAACATAAACAACAAATAATCATGTAATTATACCTAATTACATGTTGTATCCCTAAACCCTAAACCACACCCTGCATATACATACATACATGCATGCATGCATGCATACCTACCTACCTACCTACCTACGTACATACATACATACATACATACATACACACATACATATATATATATATATAGATTGATTGATTGAAGAAAACCAAAGAAACCTTGCAGAAAACGATGGAAAATTGAAGAAAACCATGGAACAATTGAAGAACACTATGGAAAAATTGAAGAAAACCATGGAAAACTTGCAGAAAACCATTGGAAAACCATGGAAAAATTGAAGAAAACCCGGGAAAAATTGAAGAAACCAATGGAAAAATTGAAGAACACCATGGAAAACTTGCAGAAAACAATGGAAAATTGAAGAAAACCATGGAAAATTGAAGAAAACCATGGAACAATTGAAGAAAACTATGGAAACATTGAAGAAAACCATGGAAAAATTGAAGAAAACCATGGAAAAATTGAAGAGGCACGAACCCCAAAAAAAATTCCAAAACTGTAAAAAAAAAATACCAAAAACAATTCTGCACCCATATATAATTCATCACATTAGCTAAGTCTATCATGATTGATGACTGCATCCTCAGATTGGCCAAGATTTTCCATTCATCACATTCCATCACCATGATTGATGAGGAAGTTGCCACTGAAAAACAAAAAGATGGTGACCGACAAAAAAGGGCGGTTTTTGGTCCAAGAGATATGGCCTCATGTATCCTGAAATGTCAGGGCTATCAACAAAACAAAGCGGACATGCAAATACAATAAATCCCACAAAGAGGATCAAAGAGGCGACATTTTCTAGCATTTTTCTTTCGAACGCGAGCGGCGTTGTCTCGGTTTTGCCCGGGTTTCTTTGCTTTAAGACCTCGCCGTCAGAAAAAATGTTTGGCAATTGCCATGGCAGCAAAATTTCTGCAGTGCCTAAACACGTGCGTGTACACAATATGAGACACATATGAATGTATTACATATGTATATGTACGTGTATTCTGTGAGAGTTTATTATGTATACATTTATGTAAGATATATCACGAACTCAAAATGTGTGGTTTTCTAACATGTTTGTCATCAATTTCCCAGGTCAAGCGATCAAATTTATCGACCTCATGTTGGGTCAGATCTGAGAGACTGGCGCAACGTTCTCCTGTCTCACCCAGTGATGATTTCCTGGAAATTCCAAAAGCCAAGAGTTGATTCATGGGGTCCCCATGGGGTGGGGATTCGAGTACGGTACGCCATGGTGACAATCCATGATCCCTTTTCATCCCTATTCGCGGTAGATCAAAGTCAGCCCATTCGAGGATTCATTTTTTTTGCATCAGGTTTCGGGCATGTCATGATGCAAGTCCTAAACATGCTGGGGCACTACGAAGGTTATTTTATAATCAAAAAGCTGCAGAAAATGATGATCCCAAGCCCTCATCATTTAGGAGCTGCGATCCAACTGGTGAACAAAGACCTTGCCGTGACTTGATGGGATAGAATTTACCAACATACAATAAAATAGATATAGCATGGATATGCCCCTTTTAAATGGTAAATGGCTTACCGGGTTCAACATTTTGGATATCTTTGGATCTCAAGTGACCCTAACTCTCAGCCACCACTATCACTTCCCGGACGCAGAGAACAGTTGCGCTGGTCACCGGGAGCGGAGAGCTCTTGCAGTGCTAAGAAGATAAATGAAAATGAACATATTATGCTGGATTTACATTTGAAAACAGCCGTATCATTCTGTGAATTAATCACTATGCTGTTCGGCTGTGTTCACCGGCTTCTGCAAAAGCTCTGACGAAAAAACCCATTTGACGGCCCGCAGCCGTGAGAAAAAGAGAACTGAAACAGTGATTTCGCCGACCCTACGATCGGTGCACCATTTTTTCAATCTTCAATTACTCCACCATGTACAGACGGTCGACCGTTCATGATTTATGATGCAATTCTTTTTTGACAAGGAATCATGGATTTGAAGTGATCACGGCATCGTTTCAGTGGAAGAAATCCCCGCAGCTATGAATTATCTCCAACTACTTCAGTTGTAACTCCACTTCAGTCATATGGTTCCGTACCTACCATTGACAATCTTTGACCGGATCTGATTCCGTGTGTTGCTGCAAGTTTACCAGGTAAATCAGATGACAACAAGACGGCTGGCAACAAAACGGGCGTCATTGGGCCCGGGGCCTTGGATGCCTTGGATGCCTTGGATGCCTTGGATGCCTTGGATGCCTTGGATGCCTTGGATGCCTTGGATGCCTTGGGACCAGATCCCAAAAACCGCTGCCTGCGGTTGTCCATTGATGACCCAAAGGATGACCAATACCACGGATGCTCCAGGCCTGGGGAAGTGATGCCACCCCCACTGGCCTCCAAGTTGCTGGGCTTGATGTCCGGGGTTGGGATTTTACAGGACCATGGGGTTATAACATGTTATAACGGTCATGGCAACAGATGGCAACAGTACTTGGTCGATATTTCCAACACTCTCGGTGGGAAGCCACAGGAAATTTGTGATTTAAGCAGCAAACTCAGGTTGGAACGAATGGAATCTGGAGTACAACCCATGAAAATCCATGAAATTGGTGGTTCTCGACACTGTGGTTTTTATTTACCATCCTGACAAATGGGATAACCATCCCGATCATTTTTCAGGAGTTGAGCCTTATAATACTGATGTGCCAGTGGTTATAGATATTTATAGATTGTATTGTATTGTGCTTAATTATTATCATTATTTTTTCACTAGCACGAGTTGGGATGTACTCAATAGAAAGTAAAAATTAACCAACCACAACCATAACCTTTTTGCGCGTTCAAAATCCCCGTTTGGAACTACTTGGAACAATGATTTCCAACCACTTCACTCATGTTTTTGATGATGGAAACTTCGGTTAAACCAGCATCTCGCAGAGTCTTTTTGCATCTCCACAAGGAAGGTGGATGCAGCAGATGGTGCTTTAATGTCCATCCTTATTGGCGTGGGAGTCACCTTGGTTTTCTTCCTGGGACTGTTGGGGCGCCTGGAGGATCGGATCGGAGATGATCGGAGATTGGGACCAAAATGGAGTCACTGATTTCTCGAGTTAACCATATATAGTGTTTAATAACAATAATACCGCAGATAGTGAGAACCAGTAATGAATATTGATTGATATTAGATAAGCGTAGATGTTAAAACAAGATGGTCATTTCTATGGTTACAAAACCATCCATTCATTGTGCTTCTGCTGTTTTATTTGGAAGGACTGAAACACCAGCGCCAGGAAAAAACCTTGACCCGGTCTTACTACTCAAGCAAGACTTCTGAAGCAACTAAGAAATTATCCAGGATAGGTTGTCACGGCCCCATACCAAAGTCATATGTTCATATTTGTCCTACCTTTGTATGTGTGTATATTACGTATATATATATATGGTGATATATTGCTTTTTGTCTTATCCTCTACGTGTCGGCGTAATCCGGTAATCACATGCAAATATTCACAGATATAAGTTGACCCAAACCATGCTCTGGCTTATTGTATCGGGGTTATGATACCCCTGACTTTTTGGAGATTGGTATATATAGCCCCTCATGGGGATACCTATTCAACAGCAAGTATTTCATGGGCCGCAGGTATTGCACCTTACAGCTGGGTCGTAGACGATCGCAACAACAGGAGCCGCAACTCGAGTAGCCAAGAGGTGGATCTCTTCATTTTTGGGCCGAATGTCAATAACCACAAGGGGGTAAATAAGTCATTAGGTGGGCAAAATCCCGTTATCTAATTTATAGGGTTTCAACCATCCTTTTGGTGGTGCAGGATTTCTTCCATCCACCGTATCTTTACCCAGTTTACCTCTGCCCAAACCACCACCAATTGCTGTGGGTCCTTTGGTAGCCCATGGGTGTTCATGTATTGTCATTGGGGGGCACGGGTATTAATGTCACACGTACAACCAACATGTCCGTATTGTATTATTTACATACTGTGTAGATATATATATGATATTATATCATACATATATCATGTATATATATATATATATTATAATTCCAGTTGACCTATTTGTTTACTACTACCAACATTTGTTCAAAAACATCAATTCCCAGCTGTTTGTATATGAACAGGCCAGTCATATGTGGGTTTCATCCCCTGTACATCCACCATGGTTCACAAGCCACTGATGGATCCGCAACCTGCACGGCCGACGGTTCGATCGTGCGCCACCGCAAGGGTTGGGCCAGGGTGGCTGGGTGGGTGGTATCGTACATTTCCATGGAGGAATTGATATATCTCGTATCTATTTCATATCCTAATGTAGGTTGATCATGATTTTGAAATTAAATCTTGTGGCAACTTCGATTTGATTTGTCTGATTGCTTGTCTCGTGCTCTAGATGCAGGTTTTAGCATCCTCAAGCATGGGTAAGCACATTGCCAAAACCATTCAAAGCAAAGGCTAAGGCTGAGGCAATCAATCACAGTCAAGATCCCTTCCAATCTTGTGCCAAAAACCATTCCCAGAGTAGTTCTTTCGACTGCTTGTACAGGTTTTCCATGGTTTTCCCGACTTTGATGGGGTTTTCCCCATGCCTGCAGTTTTCAGTCTACATCAATCATCATCAATCGAGATCTTCCAAAACTCTGGTACCTCCAACCCCCCTCCAACCTTCAAGGTTCCAAAGGACATCATGGCTAGGTAATTCAGCGCTAGAAATGCTGCTTGCTAGGAAAGTACAGTGAATGATGATCCGGTTGGTGGTTTCATTTTTTGCTTTCAACCACAGACATTGTATATTTTTGATCCGTGGTGGCTCAACCACTGACCAGTTATAATCGATGTGGAAAAATTGCAACCACCGCGCTGCGAAGTCACTGGAATGATTGTTAGGATTCGGGTAACTATCCCAAAATGATGCGAAATGGCCAAACTTTCAGGTTGGTGCATTTTTGATTTTTATCCAGATCATGTAACTGGTCTGGCATATGTTACTAAAGCAACTGTTCAACTCTCAGGGGGTGGCTCAGCACCATGCAGTTAAGTGCTCCTGATCATCCCAATGAGCAGATGGTTTCTAATTGATCACCCCTTTTAAAACAACCCATCCCCCCCAAAAAAAACTGGGGAGATTCCAAATTTACAATCTAATTTAATTGGGTTAATACCTCTATCCCATCATGACATAATATGAAATATCATGAATCCCATCTCATTATCCTTGTTGATTCATAGGTATCCCCATGGATGCCATGTGGCAGGTACCGCCAGCAGCGCCAGATGCAAGGTGGTGAGGCAGCGGAGACGGGGGCTGCACCCACCACAGCGCCGCCTACGGCGCCATGGTCAAGCCAGCCGGCGGCAGGTGACAAAATGGATGGGACATGAAGAGTTTTTTCATTGGAATTGTGCAAACTTGGCTTTTCGTTTTTTTGTTGTGGTGGTGGTGTTGGTGTTGGTTTTGGTGTTTGTGTTGTTGTTGTTGTTGTTGTCGTTGTCGTTGTCGTTGTCGTTGTCGTTGTTGTTGTTGTTGTTGTTGTAGTTTTAAGAGTTGTGATGTTGTGTGTGCGTGTGTTTCTCGATGGAAATCAAAGCAACTGTGGATACTTGAAGTTTCAAGAAATATGTTGTTTTTCCCCAAACGAAGTTTGGGGCTATTTTTGACCCAACAAAAGGACGCCCCTGTGCCCCTGTCGCTGACCAAAATCTTTCGAAATGCCTCCGAAATGGCAGATGCAACAACCACCAGCCCGGCACCGACCGGAAGTGCAAGTCGTGGAGGTGGGTAACCACCACAGAATTGAGTGATTGATAAATCGGGACGAATTCATGAATTTGCTGACATGATGACAACTCCAGTCCACCGGCTTACTCAGCATAGTTACCAGTCAGATATCAACCGGGTTGGCAACCAAAGTGGGATTCTTTGGAAATGAACCCAAACTACTTGCACCCCTACCAATTGATAGGCCTGGTCCTCAAAGGGCTGAAAAGATACTACAATCTTAGGGGTTAGATAATCACCCGCATTTTTTCGGTGCTTTGGCGCAGTTTTGAGATCTGGGGGCACGCTTTCAAATGTGATCTATTCTGTTGTTTTCCAGTGTGACCTTTCTCATACTGAGGGTGGATCTTCAACCTGCTCGAAGCAAAACAGTTTGGGGAAGCATTGCCAAACCTTAGGACCTTAGGACAAAGGTAGAACCAGGTTGAAGCAACCCCCAAACAGATGTCATCTATCATGGCAGAAGTTGTTGGGTGTGAGTACCTGTGGCACGTCATAGGTCAATGAATCCCTAGAGGGGTGGATGACCCCACCTGATACCAATGGGAGCCTTGGACGTCAACCAACTTGGAAGCAAGCATGGCTAGGATGACACAACACCGAGTTCTTCGCAGTTGTCAATGTTCCCTTTCGCCGGCTAAGAATGGATTTGCTGATGGTTGGATTCCATTCTTTCACCAAATATACTTCCAAATTCAACTGTTTTGTTCTCATATTTTTTCGTTTTTGCCAGCGCAAGTTTCTTCAATTTTCTTGAGTGTTTTTTTGCCGATAAGAAATATCATGTTTCAACCAATTTCCATCAGCCTTTTTCAAAAATGTGTTCCTGAAACTCCCAACAATCTCAACGCACCAAACGCCAACATACCACCACCAACAAGCAGACAACACGCAAAACGCCTACTAAGCCCAAATGCTGGAGGTATGTCATGTCCAACCCCCAAAAAACATCGCAATTCCCCTCAGTTTGCTCTTGGGTTCCCAGTTCTCCCTCTATTTGCCTTTTATTAGGTATTAACGTAAAAAATAACTTCAGATTTATTCCTATTTTCTATGATTTACTAGGTATATTAGGATATAATATATCAGGTATTATCTGAAAGTCCTTTATTGATCATTCTTATTAGACTTCCAGCCATTTCCAGTGGCCCAGCTCTGCCAGGCTATGGCGCCCGACGAAATCAGTCGGCTGCCAGTGGTGCCCCAGCCAGTCCAGCACTAGGGGGACAGGCGCCGTCGGAAGTCGCGTGGCCCGGCTCGTTGGTTTCATAGGAACCAACGAGACATGGGAAGTGGGGAATATGACTATAACATACTATGACATACTTATGACATACTTATGACATACTATGACATACTATGACATACTATGACAGACTATGACATACTATGACATACTATGACTATGTAGCTGATATAACTGATAAAACTGAATTATAGAAAGTATAGAATTCGATCAGGAAACCCAGTAGACATAGATAAAGGGTATACATAACATTCTATAACAACTATAACTGCTTGGTGGTTTTAAATATCGAACAAGAATCGCATGTCAACCAACAATAAGATGGGGATTTAACGAATAGACATGCTGGCATGACGACAGCCTAACTGGGACAATGATCCTGAACAGATAGCACCAGGGCAAATTGGCTGGAGAATCCCTTCACTGGTTTCAAGCTGGGAAATTCAACGAACTAAATGGCAAGCTTGGTGGATTTTCCAAGTCATGGCAAAATTTGCCAGCACCATTTAGAGCCCAGCCTTTGCTTGAAGACTTTGGCTGTGCAATGCTGTGCATCTTGGCTTCGGAGTCGTCCCCCTTCTAGTATTATCTAGTCTTTACAGGTTGAGCTTGTGTAGCTGAATGTTCATCGGGCCTAGCCTCCCGTAATTTAACATAGCTAAAACATAGCTATATTCTTCAGGTAAATCATTGAACATATCGAACTAAATGGGCCATTGTCCATATCTATCTAAAATTACTAAATGGTAATTAGACATCGTAGGCCAATTATGGGGTTTGAAACTGAAAGGCATTAAAAACAATTCTTGATTTGAGAGACCACCCCAACCTGACAGCGTTGACCTGGCATCAGGAAGAGGGCTCCTTCTGATACTTATATATCTGGTGAAAGCAAAAATATGTTGCTATATAGCAATATATATAATGTGATAGAATATGATAGAATATGATAGAATATTATATATATATACATATTAAATTAATTATAGTTATAATTATAAACAAAAATAACCCCTGTATATATATATATATTCATATATTAATCATAACACAATATTTAGAAATTATATTATTTAATATTATTGTAATTAAAATTATTTAATATTATTTAACAAAATACACAAGTCTTGAATAGGGTTTTAACGGGTCTCGAATGGGTTTTGAACGGGCTTCGGACGGGTTTTAACGGGTCTCGAACGGGCATTTTTCTTGTAAATTTCCGTATAAAGTGGCTCTTGTGGCATGTTGAAGTGCATTTCGACCGCGCAGGCTCGCACAAAGTGTGCGCCGTCGTTTTGGGCTGCGGCATTTTTCCTGTAGATTTCCGTAAAAAGGGGCTCTTGTGACATGTTGACATGCGTTTCGACTCGTATGCGCCGTGGATTTGGGCTGCGGCATTCCTCCTACAAATTTCCGTATAGGGTGGCTCTTATAATATGTTAAAGTGCATTTCGATTGTGTAGGCTCGCACAAAGTATGCGCCGCGGCTTTGGGTCGCGGCATTTTTCCTGTAAATTTCCATAAAAAGGGGGCTTTTACGAAATCTTGACATGCATTTCGATTGCGTAGGATCGCATAAAATTTACACCGGGATATGCCGGGATTTTGGACCATTATTAATATTATTATTATCCTTCTCCATTTTATTTTATTATTATTATCATTATTATTATTATTTT